TGTAATTTTACAGAACTGTCAGCACTTACATAAACCGTCTTACTAAACATCTGGTGGAGGAAGCATGTATAGTTAAACCTGTCTCTATATAACATATATATCAGGAACGTTCATGGGTGGGGGGTCAGAAAAGTCAAGATGGCAGCTGCCACCGTGCCATCAGAGCCACATACCTTTTTCGTGTGTGTTGCATGTGCGATGCACATAAAAAGGGGTGGGGCTTCATGGCCACCATCTTTTTTTCTTGATGTTGAAAAAAACTTTATTATAAACATATAAACACTTGACATTCTACAAGCTGATGATAAAAAAATAAAGAATAGAGATACAAAAGAGTGAAATACTAAAAGCAAAGTAAAAAGTAAAACATAAAAACATAATAAGGAGTGATTTTAGATCACACATTTTCTCCTCCTTTCTATTGTTCCCAACCACTAACCGCTACTTAAGTATTTGTATGTTTCAGTGAAGGTTGGAGATGGCGTCTTGTATCTGCTTAAATCATTTCGTCTACTGCTTTTCCTTGGTCTCTTAATTCTTTTCCTCATATTCCATATTCCAAATGTCTAAACTTGCCTTGCTTTGTAATTTATTGTATGCAGGGGAGCCATTTCTGCCTGAATTTAGTTAAACTCCTGTTACGAATATATAAAATTGCTTTTGCCATTGTTGTATATTCTCTGATTTTCCGCTCCCATTCTTGTATTGTCGGCAAGGTTTCCCTTTCCCAATGTTGTGCCAAATCAGTTTTTGCCGCTGTCACTTGTGATACTTTTTGTTGATATCATCTAGAATTATAGCTAAGAGAAATGTTTGTGGTTTCAAATCAAATTTTATTTTTAAAATTTTCCAAGCGTTTTGGTGTATTTCCTTCAACGCTTGGATTTTTTTTACATGACCCCCACTTAGGATAAAACGTTCCTTCTTTATTATGGCATTTCCAGCATTTGTGGTTATATGATTTATCCACCTTGGTAATCACTGATGGGGATATATGCCTTCTATAAAACATTTTGTACCAATTTTCCCCCAATTGTAGCTGGGAGTGAATTTTATTGATTTTTCTCCATAATTCTTCCCATAATTCTTCGAAGTTTTAGACCCATTTCATCATGCACTTTTTAATTTGTTCCATCTCCATGTCATATTTCAAGGTAACCATGTCCCCATAGGTTATCTTGATTCCGTATAAGTGTTTCAAATTCTGTCATCCTGCTTAATGCTCCTCTTTTCCTGAGACCACTTTTTATTCTCCTAGTAACTTGTAAGTACATAGGTTGTGGCTCCCATCTTGACTCTTTTAATCTCCTCTGTGGATAGTCCTGATATCTATTCTAAATCTTTTACAATGGTATTCTCCAGATAAACCATCCTGAGTGTCTCATTTGCTGTGATTACAGATGGAGCAGAGAGACTAGTTTACCATAATTGATTTTCTAAGGTTAATTTATAGAGAAGGAAGCTGTTGTGTGCTGACTATTGTAATTGATGCTGAGTTACCAACTATATAAGAGACTTGACACCTTGAGCAATAGAGAAGTCTGATTACTTGCTAACCCCCTTACCTTCAAATGCAAAGCAGGCTGCGTGTCTCCTTGTGATTTTTAGTGCTGCCCTTTTTTCTTACATTATTTCATTACTATTGTTGCTTCGGTTGCAATGATGTGACATCTAGAAGGCATCAACCTAAGCAGTAAGTCAGAAGAAAACAAGGAAATGTTGGCAGAAAATAAGGCAAAGAAAATAGATATTGGATTAGGACTATCAGGTCTGGATTGCAAAATTCAGGGTTGTCACTGGATGGAAGTGAAGCATTAAGAGTTTTTGGTCTTGTATGTAAGAGGTCTCTAAAAGAGGATCAGGCCCTCCACAAGGAATGCTTTGAAGGAAACTATTACTGTAATGCTTCAATGCTGTGGTTCGGACACTTTAGTGGGATTCCTCCAGGTGGGAATGCATAACTTCTGAATGTGGAATCCTTCTTGATGTTCCCAGCTGAGGTACTTCTGTTTTTCCTTCCCAGTCAGGATGAAGCTCACTTCAACCCAGCTGAGCCATCTCTTCAAGCTTTCTCAAGGAAACCACAGTGAAATGATAGTCAGAAACTGTCAAAATGGCTAGTTTTTATACAGTAGGTGTAACGCAGCTGGCATTATGGGATGACATTACAAACTGGTTTGTCAAGTAATGGTCATGCTGCAATGCTTGGAGCGTGCTACTTGCCAAACCTGTTTATAATCCCCCTTGAGCCTCTCTCCATTAACATTACTGCTGGCTGCTTGTTCTGTTCCAATAAACTGTGTCAAGTGTTTTAATCTGCACATGTTCTTCTCCCAAGTATTTCTGATTTTGCTGTTGATTTATTGAAGCTCTCCTCCCACAGCTTCTTAGAATCCCTTTTCTGGAAATTGCTGCTTAACACATCCCTTGCACCCCATCACTGCTTTGCACAGAGGAGTGGGGAAACACGTTACTTGTTCCTGTGTGTTGGTTTTGTGCTCCCTCCCCCTTGTAAAGATATCTGCAAATAACAGGAACCACATTTAGTGCCTCGTTGTTGATGAACCACTTTGTAAAGTTCATGGAGAACTAATGTTTGAATGGCAGGATAAAAGTTAGGGCTAACCTTTCCCCACATATCTTGCCTTTGTTATGTGAGTTTGTGACAAACATTCACTTTCCCATTGACAATCTGGAATCATATAGCCAATGCATTTTCAGTTCATGATCTGTTGATTATGCCCCAAATCTGTGATTTTTATCCCTAAAATATAAAGCAGGAACATGAGATTCTAGGCTTTAGGCAGTAATGAATGGTCCTTTTCTGACAGCTGTAAATGGTGGCCATTAAGTTCCTCTTCTCAGATTCTGATTGTGATGTGTAGTCTTGCCAATGTCTCAAACAAGTAACACATGATTCCCTTTGAACATGCTAACAATTTCTATTTTTCTTTCTTGCCATAGTGCTTGACTACGCATGGGATAAAATGGATTCCTGTTTCTTTCCAGTTCCTGAGAAGTTATTGCTTTTCTATTCAGTTTCCATCACATAAAGTTCCTTTAGAACAGTGTTTCTCAACCTCAACAACTTTAAGATGGGTGGACTTCAACTCCCAGAATTCCCCAGCCAGCGTGCTTAGTTTAGCATTGTGGTTGTAGCCATGTTGCTCACCTTGGAGTAGATCAAGGCTGGGCAACCTTATTATTTATTTATTTATTTAATTTATCATATTTATATAGCCGCCCATCTCACACAAGGTGATTCTGGGTGGCATACAATTAAAAAGAATAAATACATAAAAACAATTGCACATAAAAAACTGTAAAAACACACAAAACAGGAGGGGATAAAATTAATAAGGGAGCCATC